GGCATGTGGTGCTGGGGGATTGAACCGTGGTCCCTGTGCTTTGCCAAGCTTGCTCTAAGTAGGTGCTTTAGACCACTGAGCCATCTCACCAGCCCATGGCCCTTTTTCTTAAGCAAAAAGAAAACCAGGACAAGATTTTGCTAAGTTGCTCAGGTTCACCTCAAATTTATTCTCCTGCCTTGGCCTCCCAACTAGCGAAGATTAGAGTCATGCACCACTATGTTCAGGTTTTTTTGCATCTCTCTTTCTTTGTAAATCTAGCTTACGTTTTCAGTTTTGATAAAGAAAGAGCCAACTTTAGGTTTCATTGATGTTCTCTCTTGTCTATTTTTTACCTGCCTAATCTTTGTCATTTTCTTCCTCTGCTAACTTTTAAAATGTTCAGTGTGCACTTGAGAAGAATGTGCATTCTATTCTTGTTGGGTGGAGACTTCCATGTATCTGCCAGGCCTCATTGGATTGTAGTGTTATACAAGTGTTCTCTTTCCTTATTGATCTTCTATCTGGTTGTTCCTTCCATTGTTTAATGGTGCATTAGCTTTTCGTTTGTCATACAGATGAAAAGCCACTTGAGAAAATCAACTTAAAAGCAAAAAAGGTTTACTTTGATTCACTTTCTGTCGCGCGCGGCCTTGCCAGCAAGAACGACGCGACCACCGGTTGGTTTTCTGCGCAGCTCTTTATTGTTCCCTTACATCCGTCTTCTCCTCTCCGAGGCCCCTGCTCTTAGCTTATAAGTCTCAGGGCTTCCAACCATAGGGTGCCACGTATGCACTGTCCATCGGTCCAGGTCTGCAGAAGCAATGCCTTAGCCCAAGCCTTGGCCATATATGGAGTTGTTTACTCCAGGAGCACTCACCCCTTGAGGGGGTGGAAGGTGGAAACCGGCGCCATCCTAGGGCGCGGCTACACGCAGCTCCCTACAACTTTCAGAGCTTTTGCTTGACTCTGCTGCCTTTTAGCCTATGGCACAGCAGTACATCACAGAGGAGAGAACATGAAGGAACACCCTGCTCACCTCTGCATGTTTGTGAAGCAAAGCAAGAGAGGCCAGGGTCCTGCTGTCCCTTCAAAGGGCACATTCACTAAGACCTTGCTTCCTTCCACTAGGCCCTACCTCTCTGCAAGGTTCCCCCACCTCCCATTATAGTGCCACAGTCCTGGGACAAATCCTTTAGCTGAAGGACCTTTGAGGGATATTTAAAATCCAAACCAAAGAATAGGATATTGAAGTATTGTATTATTGTTTCTTCCGAGTAGTTTTGCTTCATATATTGGGAGGGTATGTCACTCGCTACATATAACTTACTATATCTTCTTGTTATATAATGCATAAGTAATGTCCTTTATGGCCACCCCCACCCCCCTTTTTATTTTTTTGGAGTGGGAATTAAACTCAGGACCTCACACTTGTCAAGTAGGTGCTGTGCCACTGAGCTGTATCCCCAGGCTCCATTGTGACCCTTTTTGATTTAAAGTCTGTTTTGTTTGATAATAGTTTAGCCATCACAGCTCTCTTTGGTTATTGTTTGCATGTAGTATCTATTTCATCCTTTTACTTTGTGTTTTTAAGACAAGATGTCATTTATTATTTAAAAAAAAAATTTTAAATGTATGTGTTTGGTACAGGGTCTCACTACGCATCTTAGCCCTGGATGCACCACCTCGCCTGGAGATGGGAATGGCATGGTATAGGGTGCCAGGAATTGAACCCAGGTCCCTACACCTGCCTCCGCAGGTGCTTAGTCCACTGAGCTATCTCACTGGCCCTCTCACTAAGTATTTAAACTTGGATTCAAACTCATGACAGTCCTCTTGTTTTAGCCTTCTGAGTTCTGAGGTTACAAGCATGTGCCACCATACCTGGCTGTGAGCCTTTTATAGACAAAACATAGCTGGATCATTTTTTTAAAAAGTCCATTCTGATAAGCTCTGTCATTTTACTGTAGTTTAATCTTTCAGCATGTAAAATAGTAAGATACCTACTGATACTTTGTTCTATTTTAGGTTTTTGGTTTTTTTGTCCCTGTTATAGTTTATATTTAGATATCCTGGTTCCCCCCCACCCCCCAGCAAAGCCTCATGTGCTCATAGGCAGGGCTTTGGGGAGGTGATTGTATCTGGGTGTAATTCTCATCATTGGATTAGTCTATTGATGAGTTAGTTGTAACTACAGGTGATGCTGGGAGGTGAAGCCAGGTTGGAGTAGGTGGGTCCCTGGGGGCATGTGCTGGATGGTTATAGCTCCCTCCCTCCTTCCTTGATCTTACCCTACTCCCCCATCATACTGCAAGCTGTTTCTCCTCTGTGATGCCCTTCCATACCACCCTGCCTAAGAGCCAGCCAACTAGGGACTGAACCTCTCCATACTGTGAGCCAAAATGAACCTTTCTTCTTTTAATTTCTGGGTGTTGCATATTGTGTCTGAGAAATGAGGGAAGGTAGTCCCTCATTTTTTTTTTTCTTTTCCTGGCTTCTTTGGTGTTTACTTGATGTTTTGTAGTGAAACAATTTGATTCCCTTTTTATGTCTTTATGTGTATATTTTCTTTGTAGTTACCAATGGGATTACTTTTTTTTAAAAAAAATATTGTCTCACTATGTAGTTCAGGCAGGCCTTGAACTCACTTTGTAATCCAAGCTATCCTTGAACTCCCAGTGATCCTCCTTCCTCTGCCTCTCAAGTGCTGGAATTATAGGAGAGTGCCACTATGCCTAGCTGGCATAGGAATTACATTTAGTACCCTAAATTTGTAATACTGATTTAAATTTATGTCAACTTCAGTGGCATACATAAACTCTGCTCTCTTTCTAGTATTCATGTCACAGATTCTATATTCCTATGTTTATGTACAAATAATAGCTTTTATTCATTTGTCTTCTTAATTATGTAGAACACAAAAAGTAGATTTATAAATGAAAATTATACTAATAGCCATTATAATTGCCTGTGTATTACTGAAGATCTTTATTTTTCCTCTAACCTTAAGTTACTGTCCAATGGCTTTTCATTTCAAACTTGAAGTATTCCCCTTAGGATTTCTTGCAGAATAAGTTTGATAACAGTGAACTCCGTCAGCTTTGTTTATCTGTAAATGTCTTAATATTTCTCTCTCTCTCTCTCTCTCTCTCTCTCTCTCTCTCTCTCTTTTTTTTTTTTTTTTTTTTTTTTTTTTTTTGTGCTACCAGGGATTGAATTTGGGACTTTGTGCTTCCCAGGCAGGTGTTTAAGCCACTGAGCTATATCTCCAGCACTCTCATTTTTGAATGACAGCTGTATAGAAATATACTTCTTGGTTGACATTTTTTTTTTTTTTTTTTTTAAATGTATTTAGTACAGGGTCTCACTATACAGATCAGACTCGTAGTGATCCTGCTGTTTTCAGCTTCCCAAGCACTGGGATTACAGGCGGGTGCCACCGCACCCAGTCTCACTCCCTATCTCAGCATGCTTCAGGGGCAGGAACAGCATGGCAGGCTGGGGATCAAACCCTGGTTGCACTTTAGTCTGCTGAGCTATCTGGCCAGCCCTTGTTTTTGTTTTATTACCTTGAATGTATCAGTCCCACTGCCTTTTGGTCTTCAAGATTTCTGATGAGAAGTCAGCTGTTAATGAGGATCCCTTTGATTCCTTTTGTCTTTCAGTGGTTTAATTATCACTTGTCTCAGTGTGGCTCAGAGTTTATTCTGCTTAGTGTTTGAGTTTCTTGGATATGTAGGTTCATGCTTCAAATCAAATCTGAGAGATGATTAGCCATTATTACAATATTCTCTCAACTTCTGTCTTTTTCCCTCTCCTCAGAAATCCACAAGGTGTGTTTTGGTTTGCTTGATAGAATGACATATGTCTCTTATGTACACTCTTTACTTTTGTTCATTCTTTTTTCTTTTTCCTCAGATGTTATAATTTCAATTTTATTGAAGTTCACTAATTCTTCAGTGTGTTTCTTTCCCCCTGTATATCTTATTTCACTTATTATACTTTCCAGTTCTAGAATTTTTAATTTATATTACCATTTTTAATAGTTTTTTTTTTTTTTTTCTTTTAGGGAAGAGTGTACAGGGTGTTCAGGGTCTCACTACTAGATCGAACTCATAGTGATCTGCCTGTTTACAGCCTTCCAAGAGCTGGGATTACAGGTGCATGCTACCATGTCCAGTCTCAGTTGCAGTCCCAGCATGCCTCAAGGGCAGGGCCAGCACGGCAGGCTCAGGGATCAAACCCCTGGCCCCTGTACCTGCTTGCAGTTTCTTTAATTCACTGAACTATTTGGCCAGCCCTAATAGTTTCTTTTTTGTTCATATCTCTTTTACTGTGGAACTGTCTTGTCTGTCTGTTTCTTTCATCGTGCTGGGAACTGAATCTAGAACCTTCACGTGAACTACATCTTCATATATATATATATATATATATATATATATATATATATATTTTTTTTTTTTTTTAAAGAGGGTCTTACTAAGTTGCCTAGGTGAAACTTGAATTTGCAATCCTCTTGCCTCAGTTTCCCCAAATGCTGCAATTACAAACATGTGCCACCACTCCCAACACTTCAGTCTTTGCATCATGTTTTTTGGATATATTTTGTAGAAATTTATTTATATTTTTATATGCCCATGAAATAGTCACAGATCCTTGAATGAGAAGTTGCTTCCACTGCAAGCTGCAAACTGTTCACTTGGTAGTGGCTGAAATAATGCCAGCCTGCAGGATGTGATAGTGGTCTGCTAGGCACCAGTAAGATGATGGGTGAAATCTACCAAAATTATTGCAGTTTACCAGCAAACACTTTCTTGGAAGTTACAAGCATTCAAGTAAATTCCAGCATTCTAGAAGGAGCCCTTCAGAGACTTTCTGCCGGTATATCTTTTTAGCTGGAGAGATGGATCCATGGTTTTTCCTGCTTATTGCGCCATCCTCTCTAACTTTACCCACACTCATCTTTTTTTATTTCTTTTTGGCCGCACTTCTGTGGGAAAGCCCTCCAAGTTACATTGCTAATTTACTTATTTTTCTAGCACTCTGTTGTTTTTTTTTTTTTTTTTTTTTTTGCACTTGCCGGGCAAGCGCTTATTCTACTGAGCCATCTCTCCAGCCCCCACCCTGTTCTTCTTCATAGCATTCTTTATAGTTACAGAATTAACCTATCTTCTCCACTAGACTGTGTCCTTCAGGGGGACAGGAACCCTGTCTTACTTTCTGCTATGCCTCCTGATATATAGGGGATATGTAAATAATGTTCCCTGAACAAATGAGTGCAAATGACTTACCCTGAGAAAGAGTGTGTGTGCGTGCACTGCTTAAGGACAGTGAACGCACACAGCAGCATGAGGAGCTGTGACTAGTACTTCCTGTGGTAGTCTGCAGCAGCCCATGCATCCATGATCCTGCCCTGGGCAGCTTATAATCTGACTAATGCGGCTGAGAGGAGCTCCAGGTTGTTTACCTCTTGTGAGTTTCCAATTCTTTTCAGTTCAGGAGAACAGCTGCCCAAGTAGAGTATGAGCACAATAGACAGGAACCTGTAGGCTGCACCTCTTGGGAAGAGGGTTGCTGCATCCTGTGTCATTTCAGACCCAGTGGGCCCATTCCCAGGACTCTGAAAAGCAAGGGCACATCACTCAGCAAGTGCGTTTGTGTTGTTTTGACCAGAAGCAGACACACAAGCCCTATACAGTGACCTTCGACCTCACAGACTCTGAGGCCATTATGGCTGCAGGAGCAGAGATCCTTCAGTGCTTTGGCTATGTGGACATCCTCATCAATAATGCTGGCATAAGCTACCGTGGGGCCATCGTGGACACTGCAGTAGATGTGGACAAGAAGGTTATGGAGACAAACTACTTTGGTCCTGTAGCTTTAACAAAAGGTAACAGTCTTGGGTTAAAAGAGAAAAGGGACTGATACGTTGGCATTCCTTTTGTCTTACTTGATTCCACTTTCGCTAGATCTTGCCTATCCCTGTGTGCTGTTAACATCATACAGAGGGTATGGTCCTTCCAGTTTCGGTGTTTTTTTTTTCCCCTCAGGCCTTTTATTTGTATTTTATATATGTTCTTACACATCAGGGTCACTGTAGTGCAGCCTCATTTGCACACCATTGTCTGCATGTCCTTCCTGTGATGTCTGTAAACCCTGAGAATGTGGGGGTGTTTTGTATCCCATAGACATCAGTCCAGGGGACAGGCTCCCATCAGATAAAGGTGCTGTGCTAACCATTCTCAGCTAGGCTCCTGTCAGCTACCCCTGCCTCCTTCCTTGTCTTCATGGTTGTCACTGAGGGGCTGTCACTTCCAGTAGCAGGAAAGACAATGCCATCTAAGTCCCTGCATTCTCCTTTCAGCACTCCTGCCATCCATGATCAAGAGGAAGCGAGGACACATTGTCACTATTAGCAGCATCCAGGGCAAAATTAGTATTCCTTTCCGCTCAGCCTGTGAGTACTTTCTTTCTTTACTCCTGAAATGTTTTTATTTTTCTGATTATAAAAATATGTTTACTCTACAGAATTCAGATGTTGAAGAAATACCCTATGAATGTAAAGAAACCACAAAATGTAAATGTGGTTTCCTGAAGCCACATGCATGGGTTCAGATCCCAGCTTTATTTCTTTTTTTTTTTTTTCAGCTTTATTTCTTACCATTGTATGATCTTGGGCAAAAATCCTCACCTCTCTGTACTTTCCTTTGTTTGCAAATAGAGACAGTCTCCAAAAGTGAGCTTACCACTAGTTCGTACATTCATCTCCATGTAGCAGAGGGGCTGTGTCATTTCATCCATCTCTTCACTTCAGTGTCATACCAGCAAGCATCCACAGTATAATTTATACTTTTTTAAAGATTTGAAAAGAAATTTCACAGACTATCCTAGTCACTTTCTTTGTTGTACCCTCTGAAAGGAAAGACTTGGGATAGCCTGTCTGCTCTCACCACCCCCTAGGGTCCAGACATGTCCCTGTCGGGAAGAACATAGGTTAGCTGAGCTCTTTCAGAATTTTGAAAAGATAGTGACAATCCAATTTGATAATAAGGTACAGCCAAATATCTGAATACAAGTTTATTCTTTTCACCAAGATCTGAGTCCCTTCTCTGCCTGTTGGCTCTGGGCAAATGTCTGTGGACCTGTACTGACCCTCCATTTCCTTCCTTTTCCATGATACTTACCCTCATCAGAATGGTTCCCAGGGCTGGTCTAAAGATGAAACAAGACAACTGGAGATTCCCTCTGTAAATGAAAAGAGCCGTATCTATATTTATCTCTGTGGTTCCTCTGTCCGTATTCTGTGTCAATCCTACTTGCACAAGATAGCCATCTAAGCCTGCTCAATGGGTTCAGAAAACAAATCAACCAAAAAACAAAAACTGTGTATAACCATGAGTGATAAGGCAACTAATGTGAATAATAGGTAAATCAGAGGAAAGAATATACAGAGTTCTTTGTATTAAATTATTTCCACATTTTGCTTTGGTTTAACCCCACTGGCTTTTATTCTCTTTAACAGCTTGCCAACATCAGTAGCTGGCACGATTGGTCCATGTGGCAGAGAACCTATGGCACGTGTGCCACAGTGGTCTGTTTGTATCACTGAAAACTCTAAAAGGGTCAGCATCTCTGCAATATAGTGACCATACTGAGTGGCTGTGCCTCTTGAGCAAGTGGATTGAGCACATCAGTAGCACTTTTCTCACCTATAAACCAAAGGAATAGCCTCATCTCCTTTGCACTGCAGCTGAAAGGCCTCATCAGATGATCTATGAAGTGTGAGCACCTCTGTCCTATGTGTAGAGGGGGCAAGTGATGGTGGCAGCAGAGAGGGCTTGGGCCAGCTCAGCCTGGCTAAGCACTTGCAGCCTGAGAACCTGTGGGGAGACCCAGCCACCATCTCCAGGGTGACCTGTTCCTCTCTGTCCTCTGAGCAGGGCTGTCCCTGGAATCACAGCTGACAGGGTACGCTCTCCATCTACCCACAACCAGATCCCTCCATGGCTTGGTGTGATATTTCTTGGCTTTTCCTTTCCTGTTTTCTTCGCTGATGAATGATACCTTTTTTTTTTTCTTAACTAAAACTAAAACAATTAGGGCTCTGAGCTGGAGGAAATTGATTTTCTGTGAAGATAAGTATACTTCCAAAGGATATCCCTTCAGGGTACTGTGTTCCTTCACCACTTTTCGTTGGATTGTGGAACTGCTGCTGAGAAGCAGAGGTGACTCTGCCTTTTGTAGGTGAAGCAAGCTCTGTGACTCTTTCCAGGTGAAAGTTACTACCCAGTAGTTCATCAGGGGAAGTGAGTGTGTAAGAAGGCAGGCATGGATTTTATGCAAATGTGTGTGCAGAAGTCATCACTAACAGCACATTCTGCAGTGACAAAAACTAAAAATAGCCCTTGAGGTCCACTCATGGGACCAGTCCTTTCACCTGCTGACCCCAAGGGAGACTGGGCAGCCAGAACCAGATGAAATGAGACAACCTGGGGTGGTGTTTGTGGTGGGTCAGTAGGACTAGCATAGAGACTGTATTGTTCTTCAGGTAAAGAAAGCTACTTGTAGGAACAATGGGAACAGTGTGAGCTTCGTAAAAATCATGCGTGTACATAAAAAAAACCTCATGAAATAAAAATTCTGAGGAACAGCATTGATGACCTCTAAGATAAGAATTGGAAAGCAAAAGGACTTTTACTTTTTTACTTGTACTATTTTGTGTTTTACTCAGGCATTAAGGTTTTTGTTTTGTTTTATTTTGTTTTAAACCTGGAATATTTAGACTTAAAGTTGTAGTACAAGCAGAAACAATTTCCATGAACTTTACTTGTGGATTTCCTAGTTAACCTTTTCCCTATTTGCTTTAGCATATTGCCAGTGTCTGTGTGTGTGCACATGCATGCATTTTCTTCCTAAGCCATGTGAAAGGCAGCTGGGTGCACAGTATTCCTTTCTTCCTATTTCAGTGTTTCCTAGGAATAAAGATGTAGTGTACTTCTCAAGACCAAGAATGAACATTGTTGCTGTAATGCTGTACTCTTACATGGTAAAACTAGATTTTGATGAGAGTAATTGATGAGCCTTGGTCCTCACCCACCCCACTGCCCTCACTGCTTCTTTCTATTGTTGCAGATGCAGCCTCCAAGCATGCAACCCAGGCATTCTTTGACTGTCTGCGTGCTGAAGTAAAACAGGATGAAATTGAGGTGACACTCATCAGCCCTGGCTACATCCGCACCAACCTTTCTATAAATGCTGTCACAGGTGATGGGTCCAAATATGGAGGTGAGGCATGGTTCTTTTTCTCCTAGAAAAACTGTTGGAAGCCAGGCGTAGTGGCACACATCTGTAATCCCAGCACTTGGGAGGCTGAGGAAAGAGGGTCACCATGAGTTCAAGGCCAGCCTGAATTATATAGTAAGATCTGTCTCCAAACAAAACAAAATTTAAAAAAAGGAAAAAGAAAAGCTACTAGGTGGCCACAGCAGGACATGTTGCTTTTGCTCAGTGGTTCTTTGGTCGTTTTCATTTGGAAGACAATTTTTGAAACTAGAAACCCTCACATAAGTGTTGGTTATAAATATAGGCTGTTATGTAATCTTTCTTCCCTTACTCCACCAAGAACCATCCTTAGCCTGAGTTGAGGACGGTGGGAGTGTAGAAAGGAAGTCCTTAAGCTGATATGTCACCAAGCTTCCATTTATCGTATTCCCAGATCTTGTCCAAGAAGTATTGTCATGATCAGGCCTAAATGAATTAATCTCATGCCAAGTAGGAAGGTTTGACCTGAATAAGCCCTATCAATGTTATGACTGGCTTCATGGCTGGATTTTGGGGTGAGTTTGTGGAGCAGTAGTTAGGTCTCCATCTTGTGTCATTTGGAGACAGTGCTGAGCTGACCTGCATTTGCCACTCATGGGCCAAAGACCTGGCCCACCCAGCATGAAGGTGCAGGCTGTCTTAGGTCATTTGTACCACAAGTGCCTCCCTGAGCTTGGAACAAACTTGCCTCCCTTCTAGTACTGTCCTGCTTTATCCTGCTGCTCTGGATCTGTTCTCTGTGGATCTCTGCTGAAGCATTGGCCAAGGGCCTGCTGGTCATGCCCTCGCCCTTCCAGGCCTGAACCAATACTGCCCTGTCCTGGTTGGAAGCTGCTCTCTTGTATAGAAAGTTTCCCCACAGCAGAAGCCACAGAGGTGTAAGCCATATAGCTTCATACTTGTTTATCACTAGTAGATAGATACTGCTTTAAAGGTTCTCTCTCTGGCATTTAAAAATAATCAACAGTCAATATGCTATTGCCCCATTTTTCTGCATTAACACATAAGAACAGACCCAGTGAAGGAGCCTGGGCGGTCTGGACAGCTTATGGATGGTCTCATAGGGCATGTGCCAGTGGCCTGTCTTCTGCACCTGCTTACTGCTCTTCTTTTGCCAGCAAAAAGCAGACCATTAGTGAAGAAGGAATATCAGTTACTGTCATACTCAAACCTCTTAACACTCCTGGCTATCTCCTTCTCTCCACCTAAAGCAAACCATAGATTTCTTCCTGTCCTGTCCAGCTGATATGACTTTGGGAGCTGGGGCATCTGTCTACTTCTGTAAGCCTGTAGGAATCAGATCGTCCTCCCTGTGTCCCTTGTAGCAACCCTGAAGCTAAGCTGTCCCAAACAAATTAGCTGTGCCACATCCCTCAGTCAGTGGTTATGCCAAGATGGAAAAATTTTATATAGGTCGGGAAGCTTCTCAAATGTGTAAGGAGCTCGTTTTGAGATTCTACTTAAGCTGGCCTTCTGCTTTTCCCACAAGCCACCAGATGAATGCACTTCGGTCCCAAGTGGTCCCAAGCAGAGTAGGGTCACCAGTCCCCACCCATGCTTCTCACCCCCACTTACCTACCCTCCCCCCCCACATCCTTACCTACTTTGAACTGCAAATGGTTCCTCAGAACATGAAATCATCAAGGCTGGCACTGTGGCACACATCTATAATCCTAACAGCCTGGGAGGCTGAAGAAAGATCACAAATTTAAACTGAACTTAAGACAATTTAGCAAGACTCTTATCTCTCTTAAATTATAAAACATAAAAAAGGGCTGGAGGCATAACTCAGTGCAAAGTCCTGGGAATGGATGGGGGTAGAATATCAGGGCAAAGGATTCTTCTGCTTCTTGACAGACTGTAAAGAGCTCCTAGTAGGGTGTGCAGCAAGCTGACCTGCTCACCCTTGTTAGCTCAGATCCTCAAGAGTGGGACCTCTGTTTCCAAATTTATGTGTTCTCTTATTTTAGCTATGGACAGGAACACAGCTCAGGGCTGGAGTCCTGCAGAGGTGGCCCAAGATGTTCTTGCTGCTGTGGGGAAGAAGAAGAAAGATGTAGTCCTAGCCGACTGGGTACCTTCCTTGGCCATTTATCTTCGCAGTTTGGTTCCTGGGCTCTTCTTCAGCATCATGGCTGCCAGGGCCAGGAAGGAGCAGAAATCCAAGAACTCCTAATGTGGATCAGAGCTGGGGCTGAGAAGCAACACTTTCTTGGGTTTGGTTGCTGCACAAGGAGAACTGCATTTGATACTTGAATGGAGGTTTGTCTCACAGATGGATACAGTGACAAAACGCTTCCCTGGTGTGGAAGCAGGCAACAAGCTTCTTCCCATGGTGAGGAGTAAATGCATAAGAAATATGGGACAGGGCTTAAACACTAAAAATACAAATGAAATGAATGGAACAGTAGGTCATAGCCTTCAAAGATCAAGGAACCATGTGTCCTTTGAATTCCATCCCCACCAATTCCTAGAAATGACCTTAGTCTTGGAATCAGAAGATGCTGTTACATCAGCTGACCCAGATATTCTCATATTTGACTTATCCAAGATAACCTTTATGGTTGTTTTGTTAGACAACCTCCAGTGCTTGAGAGTGGAGGGTATAGCTTCAGGAACTCATTATTTATATTATTTCCAGGGCCCTGTGATGGCTCATGCAACATAGAAGCCAGGCTAGTAGGTGGTGGCTTACTTAGCATATCCCAAGAGATCTCAAGTCTAGTATCAATAGGAATTCCTCATGTTTGAAGGACTCTCAGCACCCCTTCAAGCAAAAGATGAAATTATTAAAAGAGACAGCAGCCAAAGGGAGAGCCCCCTGCATGGCTTCTGGTGCCCTAGAACATGAAGCCCTGGGAGAGGAGTCTAATAAAACATCTGTGGTAGCTGGATGTGGTGTCGCATGCCTGTAATCCCAGCACTTGGGAGGCCGAGATAAGAGGATTGCTGTAAGTTTGAGGCCAGCCTGGGCTGCAAAGCCAGAATGAGACCTTGTCTCACAGTAAATTAAAAAATAAATAAATAAAACAACCTTGGTCTGGTGTAAGGAGTGACTTAATGGGGTCTAACTGAAGCATCTGCCTTTCCAATTTATTAAAAATGTGTTTGAAGTTCAAGGAGTAGATCAACTTCATATTTGAGGTTTTCGACAGTTTTCCTACTACTAAAACTGAAATGCTAGAATAGTAATTCCATTGTAGAGTTCCCCAAATTGGAATAAAAACCATCTAGTCTTTGTCATGTTGACATCTTGCACTGCACAGTGTCCTAAGTCTGGCCCTGTCAAGCATCTATTTTAAATAGCTGCCCCCAAAAGAAGATAAAAATAGCCATAACACCCTAGGTTTAGGGAATTGAAGGCTGTCTAGTTTCCTCAGAGTAGGAGGACCTGTAAGTGATTAGATCTGCCCTGGGTCAGTCAGAGTACATCCTGGACAGGTCCAGGAACCACTGGTGAAATGGAAATACAAATATGATAGATGCTTTTTTGTCTTCCACATAAACCATCCACATCTGGCCTGGCATGAGAAAGGGCTTCTTAGTGTTCACAGTAGATCCCAGCACCACAGAGCCAAGGTGGCAACAACTGTTTTAGAGCTCCCTTTCACCCTTACCCCAGGTTAAATGAGGCTGCCCAGCACCAGCAAGCTCCTAGTCCATGGCAGCAGAAGGGCCAGGTCCAGCTGTTGTCCCTTCCTCTCCGTTGATCAAAATGTTCAGGAACAGTGGATATATTAGATGGCAAGCTTAGCAACAGCATATTCCATCCACAAAGACAGGGAACATCAAATGTGTTTCCAGTGCTGAGGATGGAACCTACATTTTGCACAAATACTCAAGTATGGGGCTGGTGAGATGGCTCAGTGGTCTAAAGCACCTACTCAGAACAAGCTAAGCAAAGCACAGGGACCGCGGTTCAATCCCCCAGCACCACATGCCAGCCAGCCCTGCCCCCTGGTGGGCTGAGCGTGCCACACACACAAAATGAAATAAAATAAGTAATTCAAATGCCCCCAAAAAATTTAAAAAAAACCCAAATACTCAAGTATACCCAGAACCTTGCACAAATACAGATGTTCTAACACTGACAGTGCCAGCCTTCACCAACCCATACATTTTAAAAACCTGCTTTACTTTAGAAATGCTGTGGTCTAACAGAAATAAGAGATAATGCAAATTGTGCTATTTATAAACTAGCTAGGGCTGGCTAAATAGCTCAGCAGATTAAAGCTGCCTGTCTTTGATCCCCAGGCCTACTGTGCAGGCCTCGCCCCCGGGGCATGCTGAAATACCAATTAAAGCTGGGTATGGTGGAGGGCACCTGTAATCCCAGCTCTTGGGAGGCTGTAAACAGGCAGATCACTAGAGTCCAATCTAGTAGTGAGACCCTGAACACCTGTAGATCATTCCCTAAAATACTGGAAAAAAATAAACCAGTTAAGCTTTAGAGTCTAGGCAGCAGCACCCCCTACACTGCTGTGCTGAGTGGAAAGAGTGAGTGCACAGCCTCCTGATGTGAGCTCATAATGGCCCCATTCACATCTCAGCAGGGACAACACTGTTCAACCAGATGTGCAAACTGGAGGATTGAGGAAGGTAGAGGAGATGGCAGGCAGAAAGAACATACCGTGTCTGCATCTCCACTTTTTCTGGTCAGCTGTTCTTTACACAAGGCTTTTTGCTCTTTTCAGAAATTACGGTAGGGGTGGGTGGTTAAAACTAGACCAGGGCCAGGGAGATGGCTCAGTGGAATAAGCGCTTCCCTGGCAAGCGCAAGGGCCTGAGTTCAATCCCCGGTTCCGCCAAAAAATAAAAAATAAAACTAGACCAATTTATTAGTTACATAATAGTTCCTGAAATGGTCCACGTGAGACTCACTTTGGATTTACTGAAAGCTCTTTATGTAAAGCTCCATGGCACATCACAAATGAGCACAAGCCACTTCTCAGGGACACTGCCACAACTTTAGGTTTGGGCAAAGAATAGGAGGATGGGGAATGTGCTGCTCCATCCCCTAGTCTAGCCTTAGGCCCACCAACCCCTGTGGTGCTATAAGCAGCAACATTGGGCTCACTTGCCTGGGCAGGGGCCACTAACGAAGATGGCTCTTCAGTATCTGGGTTAGTCAACCAACAAGAGTTACTTTGTTCAGTGTAGCCTGGAAAATGGCAAAAGATCCACTGTGTGCCCCTGGTTTCTATTTTGGGCAAGGGCATCTGCTCATCTGACTTGTGGACCCAGAGGCTGTCACATTCTAGCCACCTCCCCTGTGAAATCCGAGGTACAGAACAAGTACAGCCAGGCCACATGCAGGCTTCCTTCCCAAATCTGCGTCTTTTTCTTACAGAAGCACCTACCATGCTGTGCTTGCCCAGCAGGCTCACAACCAGCACTCACTTGAGGGTTTATGGGTGCCAATTCTAGCTTACCCTACACAATCAAAATGAGGCCTGTCAAAGGCTGCTCTGTAAACATACTGTGCACCTCATACCATACTACCATCAAACACTCAAGTGAGCAACTGGTATTTCTAGGGTCCCTGGAACTAAAATTTTCTTAATTTAAAAGCCTTGGATCTCACCTGCCCAAAAATGGCCCAGTTATCGCATAGTTCTCCAAAACTTCGCCAACACCCCAGGTTAAGTACCCTGCTGTGTGGAACTAGGCCTCCTGGATAGAGCCTTCACAACTGGTGAAAGATCAATTTAGCTGTCTTGTACATACTACCCTTTACAAGTGGTGCTATGTGGCTCTCAGCCACAATGGCCAGTGGCAATGAGCCTTTGCAGAAGGACAATTCTTCATGCATCTAAAGCCTTGGAGGGGCCGGGGAGATGACTCAGTAAAATAAGTGCTTGCCTGGCAAGTGTAAGGGTCCGAGTTCAATCCTCGCTTCCCTGGCAAGCTCAAGGGCCTGTTACTCTATGGAAGAGGGATCCTGGGCCCCACAATCCCAAATGAACCCAAAGGGAGGTCCTGTGACCTCTAGGGCTGGTTACCTAACCCTACCATGTCCCTGAACAGCATGTCAGCACCAATGGCCTTGGGAACAAACCACGGTGAACCATAGACCATGTCTAGGCCAGGTCTGGCAGCAGGATCTCAGATACAGGCCTATCGTCACTGGAAGTGATAGCAGCTGGCTGCAGTGGGCAGAGAGATGTCTGCAGTGCCACGTACCTCCACATAGCAACAGCTGCAGGCACAGTCATGGACAGAGAACAGCAGGGTTGAAATACTCATAATTTTAATGGTTGATAGCTTCTGGTTGGCTCCGAATGGGACAGTTAAACAATATTACTTAAAGACCCCCAAGCGCGTTCACACCCCCTCAGCAGCGTTGGCTTCTATCCACAGTCCACTGCCTAGTTAAGACTTCCATAGCCTCAGACCCCCTCCAGGGTTATGGAAATCACATTTTTTGTAATAAGCTGAAAAAAACCCTTGGTACACCCATAATCTGTGTTCTTTTTAAAAAATAACAAATATTAAACCAAACACCTTCCCAGGCTCCGCTGCCTCACAGAGCAAAAGTGTTACTGCAGCAATTCAAATCCTTTGTGTCCTCTTGTCTCTTGCGGGCTGTGTGTTTCTGTTCCTCTCCCTGTTCACTGGAGTCATACAGCATAGAGTTCGTAAATCTTCTTTACACAGTATACCAAGGCAGCCAGTGCTATCGTGTTGTGCAGTCTCTTTCTGTGCAGGTCGTCCTTCCGGACCAGCACCACCGGGGTAGAGGAGGTGAGTGTGTGCAGAGGCAGTCGAGACAGTTTATAGGCATCATACTCCACTTGGTACTTGCAGCAAGGGTCAGACTGCCAGGAGATCCCATAGAGGGTGCAGCAGGCCAAGCTCAACACACCAGCAGGCAGGGAGATGTAGTGGGAATAATCTAAGGGAAGTGCCAATGGGGTGAAGAGGCAGGCTGTGCCAGCCAGCACAGCTGTCTTATGTAGGCAGTTGCCCACGGTGATCCAGCGTGCTGTCTCATCACCAATTCGGGTGGGCTCAATGACAATGTACTTGTATTGGGCTTCCAGGGCCTGTTCCAGCTCATACTCAAACTGGTCCTGGGCATTCTCACCATTGTAGATCTCGTGCACGATGTAGCAGTCTGTGGCTGACAAGGTTACCCTTTTGGTGGGGAGAAAGAGACAAGCAGTTAGGCCAAGAAACACTTTAGTGTTTCGTAAGGTGCTGAAAGAAAGCTGGGGCTTGGCCCTGGAGGCACATCCATATTTATCTGCCTTGGAACTGAACACACAAGATAATCAGATTATTTTTCCCTGAAAGAATGAAATGGTAAAACAAGAAAGGCACAGGAAAAGAACAGGGAGTCTAAGACGACAAGGGACTAGGCATAGCTGAAGCCCACTGTGACATCCCAACAGGCCTGCATCTCAGCATGAACCCAGAGATGAAGAACAATTTCTGCATGGAATGCCATGGATGCAGATACAAGAAGCACAAGGTTAGCAGCTCAGAAACTTCTAGAATTAGGGCAAATGCTGAAGGACATTCTTCCATGGAAACTCACAGATCTGGCAACAGATGAGGCCAGACACTGCCTCATTTGTGTCCAAAGTGGTCATCTTTGGCCCACAGAACAAAAGGTAAAAAGGGGGCAGTTTCACCTTGGGGCCCTGAAAACCCACTCCTCTGGTTTGTCTAGGACAATGTATAGTGCAGCCCACTGTGGTAAGGGCCACTGTCGAGGAAAAGCAGCCTCCCTGAGGTGGGAAAAGGCAACATATCAAGACAGAAGGGGCTTACAACTTCTGTGGGAATTAGGGTCACATGTGGGGCTTCTTAAACACACAGCCCAGATGACAGCACCACCCTGACCCTGCAAGGCCAGGTCAAAAGCTGCTTTCACACCTGTGAGGACACTATTCACAGAGGCCTACATACAAGAAATGGCATAGGGAGGGGAGCAGTCAGATGGTGAGGGCAAACTTCCAGAATTAAAAAAATAAAAGACTACAAAAAGCCCAACAGATTCCTTCCAGTTGTCACTCCTGGGCATGATTTGGTACTTTTAGTGCTGGGCCTGGAACTCTGGCCCTTTAACATACTAAACAAGTGTTCTAACAACGAACTACCCCCAGTATTCCCCCTGCCAAGATTCAGCACTTTACAAATGATTGAGGAAGCAGGTAAGCCTCAGGGGCAGTTTACTCCAGCTTGGTGAACAAATGATTGTTTTTATATGGTCTGTCAAAAATAAAAGTTATCAGTAATGGGCTGGCTGCTCCTAAGTGCAGAGGGAGGCCCCACTTCCATGTGGGTGCCCCTTTCATACAAGGCATTGGCTTGACAAAGGTAAAGGGCAATCTTAAGCCTGAAAGTAATTGTAATTAAGCTGAGTTAAGGCAGAGCCTCCTAATTAAATCATAGGCCCTGATTAAACTGTGTGCATTGGGGAGAAACTTGCTCCCTGAGAAGCCCTGGGATACAGAGTGTCAGTAATCATCTCACAGGAAGTTGATAAAATGAACCAGGAAAGCGTGGTTTTTCCTGTTTGGGGAAAATTGAGAAAAGAGGTGAGAGAGAGGTCACTGCAGCTGTTTTACCCAAACAGGATTTAGCATTTTAAGCCACCTTGAACAAACAAACCTGAGGCACAGTTTCACTCCAGCTGGAGGATGGGCTGAGTAGTTCCTAGGCAATCACACAGAAATTAAAGAGCTATGTATGAGGGTGACAGTGCCTCCCATGTATGAAAGGGGCAGGGGCTCCACCTGTAGGTTCCAGAGTCCCTGGCCTACAGATTTCCTGCTGGTCTTAACACCAGCACCTAGGAGAGGGCAAAGGGCCAAAGAACAGGAGACTGGAAGAGTCAAATCATGCACCCATCTGTGAAATGCAAAAGAAATCAAGCCAGTTGTGTGTCCTGTATCAAAGTGAGTTCAGAGGTGCATGGCTGTGAGGCACCACAGGCAAATGCTTACCCTAGTGGAGCTCTCAAAGCAAACAGTAATGTCAAGTTAAGGTTACAGAACATTCTTTCCAAAAAACGCCTAATCCACCCTGATATTGTGTCCTCCTCTGCCCCTACAATCAGGCCTGCGGTCATTCTTAAAGGGAAAAAATACTGTCTGTCCCAATAAAAAATACCCAGTTGAACCAGCACCTGGAACAGATCACTCCACTTGGGAGGCATATTAGACACATGCAACCTCCCAGGACCCTTAAAAGTCTCCAGCTCCCTCTGTGAGCCCGAGAAGGTACCCACATTCACCAGCCCTACCACCCCCTCCAGGCTCACTCAGGGTCCGCAGGCAGGCACATATGGTGGATATGGCTATTTTCTGCCATTTGTCAAGTAAAGTAGCTAATGTGTACATGAGTGATAATATGCATGGGAGTAACAGGCCAGCTTGCTCCTGCCTTGTTCCTGTTATGCGGTGTCCCACCCCCACAGCACAGGAGCAAAAAGGATCAGTAAGGCATGCCCAGGTCACTATGCCAACTGAAGCTCAGACATCCTCTGTCTTTGGCTACAGCAGTCTTGTGTCCACTACAGTTTTCAGCCAGCATGTGCACACCCAACAGGTACATCCCAAGAGCCATGAACTCCCCACTGCTTGCCATGTGTAGCCCTGGTGTCCCCCTGTGGGCACCTCAGCCCACTCTCCTTCACTAAAGCCAACATGCGACTGACTTAACCCAATAACCCACCATCTAAAATCAAGGACACAGCACTGAAGAACCTACATGCTTCACACAGTGGCAACTTAGCCAGCCTGTGGGCTGAGACTCGCCACTCACTGAGTCTGCTGTGAAGCCAGTAAAGGGGTTTTTCAGTATTTACTAGACAGAATAAAATGGAAGTCTAGTGAAGCAAAGGAAGTGAAAGGTTCAAACCCAAACCAGACACACAAAAGCAGGAAGATCCCTCTGTCAGAGTCCACTGGGTCAAACCAAGCAGTCAGCAAACACCCTAGCAGGTATTAAAGAGCTCAGGTCTATACTGGAAAAGAGTCTGGATTCATCTACTTCAGAAACTGGCAGCTGAGCTTCCTAGGAGACAAGTCCAGCCACCTCCTGACTACCCCAGCACCCGGCCTCCATGGCTGGCTTTGGCTTCTGGGTCAAATGTGACCTGGCTAGGAACCCACTGGAAAGCTTCCTGGAATCATCAGAGCAGCACCAACTGACTCCCAGTTTCTACAGCCATAGGCCTTAGTACATGACAGCCTGACCTCTGGCACATGGAAGATGATTTTTTAAAAAGCAGTACAACTGGCATAGTGGCACACACCTCTAATCATCACAGATATTGGGGGTGGCTGATGCAGGATGATCACAAGTTTTGGGGGGTTTTTTTGGCCACAAGATGTGTTTTATTTTCAAAACTATGGAACGTTTCACAAATTTATGTGTCATCCTTGCTCAGGGGCCATGCTAATCTCTGTATCATTCCTATTTTAGTATATGTGCTGCTCCAGACAGCATGAGGATCACAAGTTTGAGCTCAGCCTGGGTAACTCAGTGAGGTCCTGACTTAACATTTAAAAACATGTATACAAAAAGGGCTAGGAGCACAACTCAATGGCAGTGACCCTAGATTTAATCCTCAGTACCAGAGAGTGGGTGAAAAAAAAAAGACAAAATAGGCTGAGTATCCTTTATTCAAACACTGATATCAAAAAAGCTTGGGATTTTGTATTATTCGAATTTGGGACTGTTTGCCTATACTCTGCCTAGGGCATAGGATCTAGTCTGAACATGAAATTCACTTAAACCTTATACACATAGCCTAAAGGTTATTTCATACAATACTTTTAGTGCACTTGTGCGTTTTTGTTTTGCAGTAGTAGGAATTGAACCCAGGGCCTGCCTACTGAGCTACATTCCCCAGCCCTTTTGTTTATTCATCTGCTTTTTAGACAGGGCCTTGCTAAATTGTCTAGGCTGGGCTTAAACTTGAATCAACCGACCTCAGCCTCCTAGACTGTTGAGATCACAGGTGTGTGTCATGACACCCAGCTTACATCTGTTCTGAATGTGGCCTGTCACGTAAGGTTTATGTATAGTTTCCTACTCTTGGTATTATGTTAGTATTCAAAAAGTAGGAGCTGGGCATGGAAGCACACACCTGTAATCCCAACACTCAGGAGGCTGAGGCAGGAGAATTGTTGAGAGTTCGAGACCAGCCTGGGGTGAGCTCAAGGCCCTCCTGAACTGTACTACAAGACCCTGTCTTAAAAAGACCAAAAAAGGGGCTGGGGAGATGGCTTAGTAGAATAAGTGCATCGTTGACAAGCAGAAGGGCCTAAGTTCCATCCCCAGTTTAAAAAAAAAAAAAAAAAAAAAAAACATTCAATTAGTGATGTTTAACCTGTACTTAGTTGGAATTTTGCTCTTTTCCCCCCTCAGGGCTTCCAACAGGACATTTTTACCTTCACTACACATAAAATGATCACTAGGAGACTGCATGATTTTTTAAAAAGGTAACACTGATTAACTGAAAATGTTGGACAATCAAAGAGAAAAAAGTACAGAACTTTTATAATATGTTATCTGTAGTTTGTTGTTTTTAAGGTATCTATGTGCTTTCATATATACAAAACTTCTGAAAGGACATACAAAAAATCAGAGAATATATCTAACTAGGGAAGAATCTTAGTGGCTCAGGCAAAAAAAGGAAGTATGTTTTTATCAAAAGACCCTTGATCCTTTTTAAACTTGGCCGTCTCTAACATCTGGAATTTAAGAAATGTGATCATCATCTGAAACACATTTTGCCACCACCAGTTACTGTGCAGCTGAGCCCTAGCTGGAGGCGATAACCTGTAGGGAGTAAGGGGGAGGGGTGCTACCGTAGCCAGCACTTGGCACCACTGTGCTGTCTCCGGGTTACAGGCAGCTGTGACTGGGCGTTTGAGCCCCTCTTCCTCCATCAGTCCTACAAATCAAAGGGCTAAAGCAAAGGGGCTTCTGAATGAGATAGCACATGTGGCCAAGGTAAGATTAGTTTTCTACTTGTTAAAATGAATGGTAAGCACAAAATTTGTTTTATTCATTTATTTTGCTGGTACTAGGGACTGAACCAAGGGAGTGCTAAGCTACTGCCTCAGCCCTTTTTATTTTAAAAGATACTTTCACTGAGTTGCCTAGGCTGGCCTCAAGCCTGTGATCTTCCTGCCTTAGCCTCCTAAACATCTGGGAGAATAAATCAGCACCACCACTATTATAGGCATACCTGTTACTATTTTTGTGATAAAATGCACATATAAAATGTGCCAACTTAATTTGAAACATAGAATTCAGAAGTATTAAGTATATGTACACTACTGTACAACCAATCTTCAGAATTTTCATTTTACAAAACCAAAATTCTCTATCAACTCTCAGATAATCCCAGCCCCTGACATTCACCATTTTACTTTTCAGTCTCTACAAATTTGACTGTTCTTGGGGATTCATGAGTAGAATCACTGTTTTTCCTTTTGTGACTGGCTATTTCACTTAGTATAGTCTCTTCAAGGTTTGGCCACAATCTACTATGCACCAGACTCTCCTTCCTTTTTAAAACTAAGATTCCACTGTACGGCTACATCATTCTTTGTTTATATATTCATCTGCCAATGGGAACCTGGGTTGTTTCCACTTTTGACTATTGTATCACAAGTACAATTCAATATATTACTGTATCACAAGTTAATTTTCAAATTGTTTGGATGTATACCCAGAAGTGGAATTCCTGCATTATATCAATTTTTTTAGGACTGCAGTATGCTTTCCAGAGACTATACCAGTCACTCTACCTTCCCACCAACACTGTATCAGAGTTCCAATTGTTCTAAGTCCTTGCCAACTTTGTTTCTTCTTAACAACCATGCTAATGGGTATGAGGTCCTCTTCACATGGTGGTGACCTTTAAAATTTTTCTTCTTTTTCATTTCTTTCCTGAAGAGAGAAGAGAAAAAGGGGGAAAGAATAGAAAGAATAGGAAAAGGAAGAGGAGAGAAAACAGAAAAGAAAAAAGTACTTCTAAGGGAAAAAATAATTTTATAATTTTCTTACAAAGAAAAATCTTATTCAACAATTTGTATCTCTTGGTGTAAAAAGCCCTCCACAGCCAAGAAGAGCAGGAGGCAGCTACCTCCTGCCCTGGACCTTCTCAGTAACCATGGAGAAGCCCCAGGGCCCAGGCCACCAGCCCTGCCTGTCTGGTAACAAGAGACCCTCAAGGTTGAAGTGTGCTGGTCTCCTATCCAACCAGGGAAGTGGAGAAGACTCCCATTTCTTTGTTTCACTCAAGCAAGCACTGACCACAGTGTCCAACAAGCTTTCATTTTTTATCTTGTTAGATCCAGAAAAACCCTATGTATCTATAGTGGCTTTAGGCCCACCTGGGCACTTAAGACAGGATTTAAGTATGAACTTAAAAGTACAACACAAAGGGATGACTGAGCTCCTTGAATAAAGACTGCCTCACAGCATCCTTAGCAATGGGCCTGAATATTAACAGGTTTCCAAAAGATATTAGTGCAAGGGGAGAAGAAAAATGATGGCAATTAAGATAACTGGTGCCAGGCCTGCCAAATGGCTCAGTGGATTAAAGCACCGGCAAGCGGGCACAGGGGCCAAGAGTTCGATCCCTGGCATGCAGTGCCAGCCCCACCCCCGGGGTGCAGGGTGTGCTGAGACAGCAATTAAGACTGAATGTGGTGGCGCACATGCCTGTAATCCCAGTTCTTGGGAGGCTATAAACAGGCATATCATGAGTCCAAGCTAGTAGTGAGACCCTGAACACCCTGTAGAGCCTTCCCTAAATAAAATACCAAAAAAAAAAAAAAAAAAAAAAAAACCACTGGTGCCTGAAAAATTTAAAAGCAGGTCCATGTCAGGTTAACTTCATGAACAGGTTGTAGAAGGTGCTGGACTGTATCTTCAACCCCCGCCCCCAGGTCCAGAAAACCCATTTTTTTTGGCCAACCAAGCACTGTTTCCTCAAGCTCCTAAAGAAAGGAGAAAGATTAAGCAGTCAAATCCTGTGACTTAAAGGTCAGTGCAGACAGGAACAGGTAGACAGGCCCAAATACTAAGCACGGCTCCAAACATTTTAAGGAACTCTCACAGGGCACCTGAGGCTTTGAACTGTTTCAGAGATAACCACACACTGGAGGTCACTCTCTTCCCATGGTCTAGTAACTGAGCAGCTCTTTTGCCTGGGGAATAAGAAGAGAATGCCAAGTGTAAGGTCAAGGAGCTAGGGTTCAGGTTCTCTCAATTACTAGCACTGAGTCCAGGAGCGAAGCACCTTTCTACTTGAAGCCAGTTATTTCTTGTCAAGTGGGGTTAAAGGCCCTGCTTCTCCCAAAGCACTGTATGACAACAGGGCCTGAGTCAGGTACACAAACTAAAGGGACCATAGTAAACCACTACCTAGTGTAAAGCACTTGCAGCTATTTAAATTTAAATTATTATTTTCTATTAGTTTACATTTTAAAAATGCAAGGGGGCTGGGGAGATGGCTCAGTGGAATAAGCGCTTCCCTGGCAAGCGTAAGGGCCTGAGTTCAATCCCTGGTTCCGCCAAAAAAAAAGAAAAAAAAAAAAAAAAAAAAAAAAAAACAGCCTGTCAGATGCACTAGCCACATTGCAAGTACCCAATAGTCACAAACGGCTGATAGCTGCCCTGAAGCAGTGGAGATGAAGTTCTGCACAGCTCTGAAGCAACTGTTAGGTTCCTCAAGGCTTACAGGCTTTGCTCAAGAACCCTATTCCCATAAAGCTGCTGTTGGCATCAAGACAGAACACACTGGCAACTGGGAGGTTCCTTTGTGCTTGCTCATGGACCACTTCTAACCACCACCCAGAGCCCCCTGGCTCAAAGAGGAAGATAGATTCAGACCAGGCTGAAGCAGAGGAGACTTGGCCTCAACCACTTCTCTCCTTCTCTGGACACTGGATAAGGCTTCCAGAAAGGTAGGTCTCCACTGGAATGTGGCTTGAGTGAACTACAGAGGCATGCGTCAATGCTACTGGAATGTAAAATGCCTGAGTGAATGAGAGAGAGAGAGAGAGAGAGAGAGAGAGAGAGAGAGAGAGAGAGAGAGAGGAGAACACACAATGAAGAGGGAGAGAAGGAAGAAGGGAGGGAGATGGGGGAGAGAGAGGGAAGGGGAGGAGAGAGAGGAAAGGGGAGGAGAGGAGGGGGGAGAGAAAGGGAAGGGGGAGGGGGGAGAGAGCGAGAGCGAGAGAGATCTCAAGCAAATATCAAGGTGCATTAATGTCAAAGAGGCTAAGCCACTGCAGATCCTAACTTAAAACTTTCTAGTGCTACAAACAATATGTGCGCTCCAGCCACTGGTAACACCATTCACTAACCACCTGAGCAGAAGCACCCAGCCCAAGTAGCTACACACTGACAGATGTGGGTGCAAACCCTGTGCCTGTTCATTTCCTCTAGACAAAGAGGAAAGAAGAAACTTCATCCATATGTAA